CAGGATATGCGCATGTGGGTATATTTCTCCAAAAGAATTGAGCCAGGCACAGTGGCGCATGCAGATCAGAGACGCTACCTGGGTCAGAGAAGCTAGAGGATCACTTGAATGCATGAGGTTGAGGCCAACCTGGGTGATGAGGGGAGGCACCATCTCAAAAGCAAAAGAATAGACACCAGAAAAAGAGTGGACACTCGTCCTGATCTCTGCATTCCCTTGTTCATTGTAGCACTCGTCACAGCTGCTGAGGGGAAGCAAGCTCAGTGTCCTTGAGGTGGCAGACAGATAGATGGATAAGGAAAATGTGTCCTGAATACAGTGGAATGGGTCTCAGCCCCAAGGAGGGAGAAAGCTCTGCCATATGCAAAGCATGGATGGATCTTGAAGACACTGTGTGCAACGACACAAGGCACTCGCGGAAACACAAGCACGACACGAGCCCACTTCTATGGGGAAAATACAATAGTCCTATTTCTAGAAGCGAAGAGTAGTGGTTGCTAGGGGCTGGGGTTAGAGAAAATGGGGGCTACAGATCACCACACAGAAAGTTTCAGTAGTGTAAAATGAGTAAATTCTCGAGATTTCTGTATAGCCATGTACTTACAGTCAACACTACATTTAAAAATTTTTAAGAGAGATTTCATGTTGACTGTTCTTACCATAATGAAATAAAGAATTCAAAAGACACTGACATATTTTAGTGGGATATAAACACACTTTCAAATGCACATTATATTGCAGTGTCATTAGAGAAGGGTGAAAATCTGGGTCCATTTCTTCCAAAAAAAAGTCTCTGCATCCACAGACAAGATGCACACCCCTCTGTTCCCTTGAGGTATCTAGATGCCACCTCCCTGAAGTCACCTCCTGAAGGTGGGGGCTGGCCCTTGTCCTGTCTTCTAGGGCCAATACACTGCTTGAAAAATGGCAGGAATGTACTAAATATTAGGCAAAAGAATGACATGGACCAGTAGGAACAAGTGAGGGCAAGAGGACTAGAGCCTAAAAAGAGGTTCAGAGACCAGAGTCACTGGTCAGGAGCTCAGATTGGAGGCTGCTGCACATGAAGACTGGCAATGTGTTGAGCTACCCTCCGACACACCAGCAGGTGACCACAATTATATACAAAATCAGTCTCATACTCCCGACAGCCAGAAAGAAACAGAAGGAAAGGTCCACAGGTGACATCTGGAGTAGACCTATGAGTGATTTATGTTCATATTTTCTCTGTCTCTCCTTCTCTCTCTTTCTCTGTGGCATGCCAGGCAAGCGCTCTACTGCTGTGGTACCGCACAGCCCAGGAGCGATAATTTTCCCTATATGCTCTCTGTACTGTACAATGTGTGCACTCAAGACTCGACCTCTCACTCTTATCCTGGGGGTAGAAAGCTGCTTCCTGACCTATAATTAGCCTAAGATGGACTAGCCCAACAGGAAGATGACAAACGTCCTGCTCATATAGTGCCTCCAGCCCAGTCCTCTTCTATAAGCCCTGCCTATGAGTGCATGGTAGCTGGGGCGCATTCTGGATATAAACCAGAACCAACATAACAATCATGGGTCACTTTCCCACACTGGCAGACCAGCAACTGAGGACAGGTCTACGAGGAGTTCTTTCAGCTGAGAAGCACAGACATGGCTTCTGGGCTTGCAGAGCCAGGTCAAGTTTAAGATAGTCACCACATAGTCAAACAAACACCCAAGGACACAGGAAAGACTCCTAGGCTCTTAATCTGTTGCTCAACAAAAGCATGATTTATGTTTTCTTCTAAGTCAATCAGAGCCTTAAGAGTGGCTTTTGCTAAAACCCATGACACTTCACTTGAGCCTCACTAAAAGTGGAACAAAGCTTGCCCTTCATTTTCTGCAACTCTGGGCCAATCCTTCTCAGCTCCATACAGGCAGGTTAGTCTTTCAGGGATTATCTGAAGGATAAAGTTGGCAAAACAAGCCTTATCAGCTATAAATTCACCTCGCCTATCTCATTGTCCACCAAAATAAAGACACTGAGATAAAAGATTTGCAGGAGCATTTAGCTACACCCAGACCCTCCAGAGCCTCACATGACCAAGGAGACTTCCCTTGACGCCTGGAGGAGCCCATCCACACCCACTGAGGGAAACCAAGCCAGCCCTCAACCACTAGGATTCAATATGAACTACAAAGTCAGCACTGACTGACCAGACCCCAGCCGGCCACAGTACTCCATAAAACTGTTCTTTCCTGTTTCATGGGTGAGTCATTCTGGTCTTCATCGAAGTCAAGCCAGAGCCTTTCTGTATTGTCTCTTAACCTTCTAATTAAAGTGCTGCCTGTACACTCGTGCTGTGGCTTTATTTTTAATTTCCAGTATCACTGAAGCAAGGCCCCATGCTAGCTGGCGATGGCCTGGCCCTGTAAAGCGCAGTCTCTTTGGAGAACCGGGTCCCCTGCTCATTACAGTAATCATTGCATCCTTCCTTCCCCTGTGAAGGGTTCTCCATTTTTTCAAGAAGACAATACAGGCCATGGGAGAGAAGAGAAGAAGGGGAAGGGGAAGGGCAGAGGGAGGAGGGGAGATGAAAGCAGGAATTCTGGGGGCAAAGTTGCCAAGGCAGGGTTGTGCACCCATGTGCAACACTTCGATGATCTAAGTGTACACAGCACAGCATGTGGGGAGGTGGCAGCCCACTGCAGAGCTCTGGGCAAAGTACCTGCCGCCACAAGATAATGAACAGCAGTAATTAGGTCTTCTTGGAAAACAGATGAGCATTGTTATTAAAACGTTTACCATCTATATGTTTTATAGGAATCTGGCTGCCTCCAGCTGCTTTAATTTGGAAGCAATGAGGATGGAAGTAGAAGTAATAATGAGTTAAACCACAAGCACATCCGTGCCTGGGGAAGGTGCAGGGACTGGTTCACAGACAGGGCCCAACATCCGGGACCCTGACACTCTGCTCTTGACTACACAAGGCAGACCCCAGCCCCCAAAGTCTAGAGTCTGCCCAGAATATGCCCCCAACCTGTCTGAGCACTTGTCTCTCAAATACCACCCCTAGAGAGAGTAGGCTCCTAACAGAAGGTGGGCAATTCCTCTCCTTCTCTCTTTGCATTATGATGAAAAATCTTTATATGTGCCCACAAAAATAACCTAGATTCTTTCACTTTGGAATTCGTCTGGTGGTTATTTCTATGGCATACAGACTATCAGTATTCATCAATAGAAAGACAGTTCTCTCCTACTATTTAATGAAGCCCTTAAAAATAAATGCTGCATTACATTTCATAAATCAAAGAAAACAGATGGCCCCTGACATTTCACAGTTATGACAGCCTCATCACCTGTGCTGATGGGGTCATACACAATTACAGGTCCAAATGTCCCCCTGGGAAGCTTCTTTTCCAGCTTGGACTCTGACCCTGAGGATCCTGTTACTAAGTTCTATTCACTCGGTAAGCCCTTGAGAGACATTTTCTCTTCTGGGCCCCGGGGGTAGATGGTGCTGTGTCCAGGTTTCACACACTGAGGGCCACTCTCCTTACTGTTCAGATGGTTTTCGGAATCGCTCTACAGTCACTTCAGTAGTGTGCTTGACATCTGCAGAGTGGATCGCCAGGTAGGACTCGAACGCCCCCACACCCCAGGTCCAGCCAGGGTGGCAGTATGAACGATGGAAAACTTCCTGGCTAAGCCAACAGCCCCAGGGACCTGGAAGGCCATACCTGCTGGCTCTTGGTACTTCCGGTATCCCTGGTCACCTCAGCAAGCCAAAGCACTTCCAACTTTGCATGTTACTCACTTCCTAGCTAGGAGGAGGCAGTAAACACTAGCGTACCTCTGGGCCTGTGTTCACATGCTACTCTTTCCTTCTCTGTGCAGCTTCCTTTTAGAGTAAAGGATTCCCCCAGACACCCACCAAGTTCTGTTTCCTCTGCCCTACAAGGTAGTAGCCATGTGGACTCCTGGACTCCTGGACTTATACTAGCCAGAAATATTTAAAAATAAACTGTGCTGTGGAAAACTTCTCTCTAGGAGCCCCGTCATGCATACACAGCTCAAGGGTGCAGGACTGACACCCAGATTTCCAAAAAGGAACAAGTCCTCACTTCTGCCACCGATCTCTGTTCCAGCAGTTTCTCATTTCATCTGAAATGCTGGAGGTGACAAATGCCTGCAAAGGAGAAAAGCTCTCTGGTCTGTCCTTGCTGATCTCAAAGGACAGCTGTGTGTGAACACTTCTGTGTTTCTCCACTCTTAACATGATCTCCTTTGTGGGGACATGAAATAAACACTGACCCTTGGCCTTCTAAGAGGCTTCAGTTGTGACCTGGATCACTCACAGATACTTTCTGCATGAGCCCAGGCCACATGAACTGCCTTGGGACAAGGAAAGAACTTCCTCGGGCGGAAGGGTCAGAGGGCTCTCACTGACAGAGAAGTGAGATTTTCTTTTCTAGCCAAGAAGCAGCTTCAGCCCTGGGAGACCCGACTGGCATCAAAATGAGCACGATGTCCAGGGATTTGCCAAGTAGCCCAGCGTCTCCCAGGGAATGCGCTGCCAAATCGCTTCTTACACTTCCCCTGTTGTGTCTACACACCTGACTTCTCGGTGCTTACACAAAATCTTGTTTATTTATTTTTTGTTGTTCATTTGTTTTTGTTTTGTTTTGTTTTACTCTAGTCCTGGGATGTGAACCCAGAACCTTTGCCCTGAACCACACTTCCAACTCATATCCCCTTTCAGATAGGTCCCTGCTAAGTCACTAAATTGCCCAGGCTGGGCTCAAACCTAAGAACTTCCTATCTCAGCCTCTCAGAGTACTTGGATTATGGCATGGGCCATTGTTTCTAATTCCTGATCAGAGTTGGCTTTTGCACCCAGGGTCCTGGTCATGCTGGTCAGGGGCTCCAGCACTAAACTACACCACTACTCTGTGGACCTCCAGTAACAAATTCCAAAGACATTGAGGACTGCCTTTGCCCCGCCCATTGCCAACACCTCCTGGGAGGCTCTTACCAGCTCCTCTGTGCCCGGACTTCTTCTCCACCACTCTGCTGTCCTTCCTGGGGTCCGCAGGTAGGCTCACCTTCTCAGGCTCTACCGGGTCAGCATCGGGCAGGTAGGCCAGGGTGAGGCTCTGCAGCAGTGGCTTCCTGGGCAGGGGTGGCTTGGAGCTGGGCTGCTCTGGGGACCGTGCCTTCCCCTTTCCCTGGCCGTTGGGGGACCTAGCACCCCGGAGTGCAGGAGCTGACCCAGTGTGACCCTGCTCATCTTTAGGGAGCAGGGCTGGCACTCCCCTTTCTAACCTGACCTCAGCGCTGTATCTCTTGATGCCCCTGGCTTCGTGGGAGGGGCCCTCTCTGTACTTGAGGGACAGGGAGGTGGACCGCAGCTTGACAGGGAAGGGGCTTCTGTCCTCACAAGGCGGTGGCTCTTCAGTGGCTGGGCAGGGCTCGCCTGTGCCTGGTGTGGTGGCCTTAATGTCCCCCAAGTCCTGAGATACTGGCTCTGCTGGTTTCGGAGGGTCTAATTTCTGGGCTGGGGGCTCAGGGAGCATGTGGAGGTCATCGAGGGCCGCCTCACTCCTCCAGGCCTGGCCACTGCGTACCAGGGGCAATCGGATTGCAGAGACAGTAGGGATAGCAGGGACAGTGGGACCTGGAAGACGAGGGCCTTCTGGGCGTGGCCGTGCCCTGCACGAGGACACTGAGAACTTCTTTACACCCCGCACCTCCCCGCCACCAGCACCCCTCTCACTTTTCCGTCCCTGAGTCCCCCTCTCAGGACCACCCTTAGGGGATTCCTTGTGCTCAGACTTGGGTTTCCCCGGGGACACGGCTTCGCTGCCTAGAGCACAGGGACTGGGCTTCTGCAGAGGTGACTCTGTGATGGGTGCCAGGGATACGCTGAGGTCCTCGGCCACCGTCATAGCCCTGTGCTTCAGGCAGCTTTTGGGCGCAGGAGGGCTTGGGGCTGGAGCCGGGGCAGGAACCACAGCAGGTTCTGTCCCGGCTACCTTGGGGCTGGGCACTGCCAACGTAGGTTCCACCTCCTGCTGGACACTTTGGTCTGCGCCATCTGGGTCACCGGATGTCGCCAAGGCCATGGCAGTGACAATCTCAGGAGGTGCTGTGTCATGAGGAGCTACATTCACTGCGGGGACATCGGTAGACACTGCACTTTCCATGTGTCCAGGAGCACAGACCAGCTCTTCATCTCTGTCCCCAGCTGGGGGACAAGGGCTTGCCGTGGACAGCTCCTCCTCCTCCTCCTGGATTTCAATATCGGGAATAGGGTGCAGAGAGCCTTCTGGTAGAGATGGGGGCTCCACACAGGGGGTTAGCACTGCCACAGGCTCTGTAACCTCTGGGGTGGCCGGGCGGCTTGAGGGGACATCGCAGAGGGAGCTCCGTTCCTCCACACTCGCACTGAGCGCCGGGCTGTGCTGCAGGCGGGCACGCCTGGCCCGGGGTCCTCCAGGTGGCAGCAAGGTGGCAGGGCCCCTGGGCTCAGGGTCTCTGTCCAGCATCAAATCCTGTTGCCCGGAGCTGGGACTCTCCTCTGTGCTGACCTCGAGCAGTGGCCTCACACCATATTCTTCCTCCTCGGGGGTGCAGGTCAGGTCGCTCAGGGATTCCGATTGTGCCCGCTGGGAGAAATAGAGATAAGCGATCAGTGCTGCCATGAACATCAGACAGCCCAAGACTTCCTCAAGGCTGGCAGCTAAAAGCAGTGGGTCCCTGAGGTGGCACTGGCGATGTTCACGCACGGGTGTGCTTTCGTAATCTCTCCCTTAGTGGTCTATTTGGAGACTTGCCCATACCTTCTGAGGACCCTCAAGACAAAGGCCACCTACTGCTTGTGTGAGCCAGCCACAAAAATTAGTGGCCAGGCTGTGTCACTATGCTTATTTCACTGAATCCTTCTTTCCTCCCCATGAGGAAATGACCATCCTTCCCTTTTTGTACTTGGATAAGTAGGAACTCAGAGACATCAAAAGAACCTAACTGATGGCCAGTGGGTGGCCCAGGTGACCAGCTAGGCTCTTTCTGGGACTCTAGGCTGCCTCTGAATCAGCATCCCATGTCAACACCCTCCTAGCAGAGTCAGACTGGTCCTCTAGGAGGATCATTCATACCATCGATAGCATGGTCCACACGTCACCATCGCTTACACAACAAAATCCAAACTTCTCAGCTCAATTTACAGTCTTGCATTCTCCGGTCTTGTGGTATTTTCCCCACTGCACTCAAATCAAACCAAAGCCCAGAGTGAAGGGGTAGAGAAGAAGCATCAATCTCTAAGACCCGCATCTTGGATTCAGCAGCTCCGAAGCCTGGAGACCTGTAGGCAGGCACCACGGGGCACTGCTCCTCTTAAAACAGGATCACCACACCTCCCGCTGCTGGCACTGCATGGCTGGACTAAGCGCCAGCCAGTCTGGTGAGACAAGGTGCATCGTCCATGGACATTCTGCTTGTACTGAGCCTGGAACCTCCCACAGCACGGCTCTGGCAGCACTGTAGACTGCGAGGTCACAACCAGAAGCTGGAGACTTGCCCATACCTGCTGAGGACCCTCAAGACAAAGGCCACCTACTGCTTGTGGGAGGCCAACCTCTGCTGTGGTAGGAGCCGCAAAATGCACTCTAACGGGTATTAGAACTTCATGATAAATATCACAATATTGTTATTACTGTGCAAGATAAGTTTTTTGTTTTTTTTTTAAGACAAGAAGAGCCCTTTTTATTATCTTTCTTTAAAGCTCCAAAAGAGTCACAGCCTTGATGTTGTGGAGTTTGTCTCTTGGTGACACAGGTAGGGAACCTCTGGGCAGGCAAGGACAGCCTCAGGCTCAGGAAGAGACTACCAAGGAGATTCTGAGGATGTCCACGCTTGCAGGAAGGCGTGAGGGAGTGGGGGATGGAGAGAGGCTGCTACAGGGATCAAAGAGCAGGGCAAAGGGACACTCCAGTGAGGGACAACGAGCTCCCACACATGCTCCAGGGGCGGGGGGGGCAGCAGAGGGGGCTCGTGCAGCTCTCCCCAGCCTTTCAGGAGGAAGGCAGCCAGTGGAAGGGACTTGCATTCAGCAGCTCTGTGACTAGCATTGCTTTGGAGGCTGGAAGTAGCGCTGGGGTGAAGGGCTCAAAGTGAGTGCGTGTGTTTAGAATGGTCACTTCCGTGTGCATCAAGTCCTTTGAAGGAAGTCAAAGGTCACCTTGTGCCTTTCTGTGCTAAGCCCCCTAAGGCTGAAAAGTAGCCAGCCAAGGTGACAGCATGTGGGGGAAGCGAACATGAGAGCATGGGGGGGCAAGCTGACCCCCGTGCGGAGGAAGAGGCTCGATTACCGAAGACAGCCGCCTCATTTTACTCGACCGCTGGTTGCGAGGCTTAACCAGGAGCTTGTGCTTGGCTGCAGAGTTGTCCAAGCAGGAGGAGGACTCAGCGGGCTGGCTGAAGTCAGCCACAGGCGCCGGGCTGCTGTCTGAGGTCCGGGAGGAGACGGTGGCATTGCTCGTGGGTTCTGGAGACGGAGGCCGGGATGAGGACACTAAGCAGACCTTCAGAGGACAGGGAGCAAACACGCCAAGCATTAACTTCACGGCTTGATATGCAACAGCCTGTCCTGGTGTCCTACATGGTCTCTGGGCTTTATCTGGGAAGGGACAGGTCCAGTCTGGATCTCGACAGGGAACATTCTAGAATACGACCGAAGAGGTCATATGCATGTCTGAGGTGCCACAGTGAAACACAGCATTTTGTAAAATTACTATGCACTCAGAAAAGTAAAAAAGAATTTTCTTTTTTAAAGTAAGCTAAATGGCAAGGAGTTCAAAGTATTAGGCCAAACCGTGGAAACCTGTGTCCCATGTGTGAGACATCACAGCAGACATGCGACGGGGCTCCGCCAGCAGGAGAACTCTGTCCCCTCCCCCATGCACCTGCTTCCTCCAATGCAACAGACTAGCCCACTGTGCCAGGGCAGAGGCACCTGCGCTGTCTCTAGAAGCTAGGGACTGGGCACAGAAGATGCCAAACCCATCCACATTCCATCTCTGTGTGTTCACTTTGAAAAGTCTCTGCAACTTCCTGGAGGAATCTGGCTTGAAGCTACCATCTGGCAATTACAGGTACGCTACTGTTCGTACCTCAGCAGGAGGAACTGACAGCGAAGAGTAAGGCTGTTCTTCGAGGGGAAGGGGGCACATGCAAAGACACCTGCCCGCCAAGCTTGGTGAGCTCCCCCACAGAGCAGGGACTAACAGGGCTTACCCACAAAGTGGTGTGTGTGCGTGCATGCGTGTGCACGTGCATGCAAAGCACTGGGCAACTCACCCCCAGGCCTTGACTCTCTCCCAGTGCCCAGGGAGATCTGGGTGATGCGGGGCTTTGGAGACGACCCTGTGATCAGTGCACCAACCCGCTCATCCCCCAACCAACCTTTCTGTTTGAGCACGGTGCTCAGTCTTAGTGTCACATTTTCATTTTGACTTCAGAACACAACTATGTTCCTCACACAGTGGTAAGTCTTCCTGAAAACAGTCTCTTTAGAAAAGAGGCACAAACTAGACACCAGGGCCACCGTCTGACAGTGACCTCCAGGACCTTGGCTGAATCCTTTTTGGCTTTCTTTCTATGACCCTGCTGCCCTGATGAGAGAGAGCAGGTGGTTAACTAGTGCAGCAACTTACCTAAACTGGATGACATTTTAAAAAGAAAACAGCCTCCAACTCAGAAACTGCCCCTGCAAAGGAACAACCTAAGAACTTACTTCTGTTTACAGAAAGGTCCCTTCTATCGACTGATGGAAATATAAAGCTCGTTTTCTGTAAGCTGCCCAAATGAGAGAACTGGATGGAAGTAGATAGTAGTAATCTATTTTAGCTCTCTCTTAGCCAGCCAGATACTTATGGGAATAAATGAAAAAAGAAAAACTACTTAAAGAAACCACAGGCCTCTTGGCCACAAATGCACTTGAGTCTGCAGCTTTGGTTTCAACTGTGTAGCTGGTGGCTCAGGAAGTTGCCTTAGATCAGGCAAATGACACCTTTCCTGGGCAGTCCTCCTTGGGGGTCACACGCAGGATGTGTGCATTTCAGAATCATACAGAACCTTTAATTTTCACTCTTGTCTAGAGGAACCATGAATAGAGACTTATTATGAAGTAGTTTTCTTTCTCATGGCCTGCGACTCGTGGCAACAGACCAGGTGAGGTGTTTAGCCAATGCAGAGGCCACAGGTAAGACCAGCAAGGGCCTTGGTTACCAGTCTGTAAGCATTACACCCCTGCCCCTCCTCCGCCTGGGTCACTCTGCGTCTCTACCACCTGGGCAGACCGGCTAGGGTTCACGCACACTTCAGGCCCTTGGTGGGAGACCTTCGCATAGAGCCTGACTGCCTTGACCTCTATCTGTCCCTTGCAAGCCTTGTGCCAATGTCGCAGCTGATCTCCACCCCAGGGACTCAATTCCTCGAGCCTCACAACTCTCACTTCTCACTTCTGTCCCCATGGTCATTCTGAGTTCCAGGGATCAGGAAAGACCAATGTCACAGCAAGGAAGAATCACAAGTTTTGCTTTTGATCAGGATGTGACCATGTAGGGTGGGGCTGGGCAGGGTCTTTCTGGCTTGCAAGTCCGGGGATGGGCGCTGGTAGCACATCTGCTCCAAATGCTCCCAGTGCCCCAGTCTTTCCTGAGGTCTGCCCTGGACCATTCTGGGAGCAGGGAAATTACAACTCACATAAGGCCTTCCCTTGTAGAGAATGTGGCTTCAAGGCCCCTGGAGAAATGGCTTGGGGTTCAGAAGTTTTAGGGGTGCCCATAGATGGGAGCCACTTTCCAATATTTGTGCTCAAAAAAAAAAAAAAAAAAAAGGTTGAGTTGGCATCAGCCGATCTGGTCTTATTTAATCTTTCCCTGAACTCTCTGAGGACACAGACTCCAAGGAGTAACGAACCTGCTAAGACCTTAATAGCTGCAAGCTTGGAATGTGACCCATTAGGCATGTACAATCTCAACCATAATCACTGAGCACAGTTCCATCAGTGAATTCACATGGCAACAAATTTTAAAACTACTTCCTAACAGACTTACTCTGTCAGGAAACAGTACCTTGGCTATATCATCAAATATTAGCTACTTAAGACATTTTTTCCCATAATCTTAAGTTTCTTTGTCAAGCATGTGGGCCTGGAGAAGACGCCGCACAAGATAAAATCACACAGCCCACAGTCTTAGCCTCTTCAGACCTGAGGCGCCATTGTATTAAATATTAAATGCCAAGTGTTATATAAGCATGTTTCTAAAGGCTGCATTGTTTTTGTCTTCTCCATTGGCCAACTTGTGCAGAAAACAACTGTTTGGACACATAATGCAAAGATTGGGGGGCAGGGGAGATAGCTCAGTAGAATAAGAGCTTGCCTGGCAAGCACAAGGTCCTGAGTTCAATCCCTGGTACCGAAGGGAAAAAACAAAAAACCAAAAAACCAAAGATTGGATCTTCTGAACCATGATGGCAAAGATCTATCTATATCTATATCTAATTTATTTTATATATATATATATAATTTTATATTATAAAGGCTTTGGTTTCCTATGAATATTACTCAATAATGGTAAAACTTCAGAACTTAATAAAAAACACCATGTGGGGAGCTGCTATGAAAGATAGGGTCAGGAGTTTTAGGGGTGCCCATGGGTGGGAAGTTCCCTGGGGTAGAACTAGCCCAGCATGAGGGCTCCCCTCAGCCACTGGTGGACTTTGGACCTCATGGCACCACGTGGCTTTGGGCGGGGTTTACTCTTTAATGCAGGGATTAGAAACGACCTGTTCCTCTTCACTGGTTGTGCTGGCTGCAGGCAGAGGAGCAGCCAGGCCGCAGGCGTCAGAAGCCGGTGGAGCCATCAGTCGCTACTGAGCAGGGAGGCAGCTCACAACAGACCTCTCCCCAGCACATGGCCCCAAACACACCAAGTCCTCTGTACTCCTGAGAGAGGGACAAGGACTCCACCAGAGTTGTTTCAATGCATTAAGGGGTGCAGGGTCAGTCCAGTGGGGTCTGGACACAGGGCCACATCACCATCTTGGGAGCCCATAACTACTTTCAAAAATTAAGAGCGACGATGGCCTGGTGAGATAGCTCAGCGGACTAAGCACCTGCTTAGGCAAGCATAGGAACCAGGGTTCAATCCCTGGTACCACATGCTGTGCCAGCCCCACCCTTGGGCCCTCTGAGCCAGTGACAGAGTCCCAGCATGGTGGCACACACCTGTAATCCTAGTGCTGGGGAGGCTGAAAACAGAAAGATCACTATGAGTCCAAGCTGCATAGTGAGACCCTGTACCAAATACATTTAAAAAATAAGAGTGATGGGGACTTCAAGGTGCCCAAGTTACTGAATATCGTTCCCAGCAACACAGAATCTGCCACCCCACAAAGCCACCGTGAGCCGCCATCCACCAGGCCAGAGAGAAGCATTTCTGGGACGCACAGGGCAGGTGTGTGGCTATAAAATGTGGGCTCCAGCCCTGCTTTGCTTTCCGAGTGCCAAGAGAGCTGCAGCAATTGCATTTGGAGCCACACCTAGCAGGGCTCCTCTCCGACAGGAGAAGGGCCATCTGTTTTGCCCTTTATGTGCAAGTACGTTGCATGGGTGCTGAGTGTTCTTGCCACAATAAAATAACATTTTAAAAAGCACAGCAGGCAACATCAAGAACTATGGTGTTTATGCAGGCGGAATAGCTGGTCCCTCAGGTTCCCCCTCCTGATTCTATGGCAAAGGAGGTATCTGGGGGTCAGAGCCTCAGCCCTGTTGAGGTCACAAGCCCCTCTCCTGCTTGACAAACTCTTCCTGCTGCCCTGTTCACCAGAAAAACGCCTCACATCCACCCAAACCAACAGGTTCTCCCGGCCAGCGACTTGGCCACAGGCTTAGACTAAGTGGTGTATTTACTGTCCCTTCTTCCTCCACCCAAGACCATATTGTGATGACTGAAGAGACACAAAGGTACCTCTATCTTTAAACAGGGTTCCAGGCCTGGTCATCTGCCCTATGTCAGGTCTACCAGCACCACAAAAATGTTACCAAACTGCATCTCTATGCCAGACCTGAATTTCTGCCCCAAGAATAACAATAAACATAACTCAGGGGCCAGCTAGCACCTCTGGTGACCTGGGTCACCACACCCTGCAGGGCCTTTCTCTCCCATGGGCATTTTGGGGGCAGGGAGTACACAGGGACCCCCAAGCTCCAGCTCCCAGCAGCGGCAGGCGAGGATGGGAACATTTGGTGACGCAGGCCACACTTGCCTTTATGGTCGTGCCTGAGCCCACGTCGTGCAGCAGAGACATCTCTGGCGGACTCCGGGGCAGCCCATCGTCCTCGGAGCTCATGCCGGTGTCCTCTGCCCGCTTGATGGGTAGCCCCCCTGGAGGTGGTGGCCCCATCTTCACATGACATTGTATTTTTAGCTAGGTGGGCACAGAGAACATCTGCTCTAAGTATCCCCAGCAGAGACATCTCTGGCGGACTCCGGGGCAGCCCATCATCCTCGGAGCTCATGCCGGTGTCCTCTGCCCGCTTGATGGGTAGCCCCCCTGGAGGTGGTGGCCCCATCTTCACATGACATTGTATTTTTAGCTAGGTGGGCACAGAGAACATCTGCTCTAAGTATCCCCAGCAATGCCATCTACCAGCTACCCTCCCTGCTTCCACTTATTCATTCAGGAACTATCTTCAACACCCTCAAGAGGTGCAGAGGATAAAAAGGAAAAGGCGGCCACTACCAGCTCACTCAGTGTCGCCTCTCTGTGTCACCTCTCTGAGTCCATCTAAGCTGTCACTCAGCACGGGTCAAGCTACAGGGGTATCTACTGAGGTGAGCCTCTCAGGAAAGCTGTGGTGTGCCTTAGAATCTACTTTAAGTGTATCACTTAGACCAAGCAGAAATCATGTAGAAACTGCTGGAGTGACAGGTGACATGCACTGTGTGATACCCTCAAGGAAACACTTACCTGCAGTGCTTTAATCCGGTCGCACACGTTTTCTTGGGAAAATACCCGCACAGGCCGAGCAGGGTCCTGTCCTGCCTCAGGAATGAAAATGCTGTCATGTGACAGGGCCCGGCTGCCCAGCGTGCCCCTGGACTCCCTAGGATAAAAGAGCTATTGTGAGACTCTGGCCACCTCCATCTGTCACTGACCCAGGGTACTCAGGGTGAAAACAGAGGCATGAAAATTAGTGACACATCGCACAACATGCTTCTGACCCTTCTGACCACAGTTTATCCCCTTACTGTCAAATGCCACAGGCTACTGTTTGGAAAACAGTAGAGATGGGAATTTTCCTAAGACAGAGAAAGTTGTGTGAATTTTTTTATTATTGGAAAAAACAACATTTGAAGAGGTGTGAGATCCAAGACAAGAGACAAAGGGATGGCACTGGGCTCTGCAGACACTGGCTGTCCTAGGTGGGAAGGCCAAAGCTTGTGGGTGAAAGCCCAACCCCTGGGTGAGCTGGAGGCTTTGGTGGTCCAAACCATCCACGGCTGCTGCGGCCTTGCTGCAAGGCTGCATCCTCTTTGGGTGACTCGGCCCAGCCTGCAATCCATGCACTCCAAACTCTGCCTGCACTCTGGAGCACGCAGATGGCCAACTCTTTAGGCATCACCATCCCTGCCTCTTCCCCAGCCCAAGGGTCCTATTTGGAGCTGAACCCACAGGACAGTCACACAATGCCCTCGGAGGATGTGGGAATTCACTGTCAGATTTTCCTAGCAGCCTGAACAATAGGTGGAAGGAGATGACCCAGACCAGCGGCACAGGAAGGAAAGCCCCCTCTTCATGCCCAGGCATCTTGCACCCACCAACCCCACCCTGCCTTCCCCTGGGGACTCCTGACCTCCAGGAGGTCATCAGGGACTCTGAGGAGTGGCCCTGCCCCACTGCAAATGACACTTTCTAGCTTGCAAGCAGGAAGCCCTGTTTCCCTAGAGTCTGTCCTACTGTTTTGGGGAAGGAATCAGCCCAGTCTGAAAGCCTGACTCTGCTGGCCAATGACAGCTCTTCACACAAGGCCCCACATGCCTGCATGTCCCCAACAGCAGAAGACCTCTGGCCACACCTCAGGGCAGCCAGGACCACGGCCTAGACACCTGTAGAGTCAGGGTAGCGGAAGGAGGCCCCCAAAAGATACAGCAGCAAAGCCACACGGGGTGAGTACACCAGGCTGCCCACATCAGCAGTGATGAAGTGGGAAGCTTTCGTGGGGGACAATTTGAGTTTCAAAATGAATAAAAGCCAGGCACAGTGGCTCACACCTCTCAACACCTAGGGAGGCTGAGGCATGAAGACCATGAGCTTGAGTCCTGCTTGGGCCATTTAGTAAGATCTTGTCTCAAATCCTCCAATACTGGGGGAAATGGGTACAGATGAAATCAAGTTAAATATATAAAAATCAATGTTCACAGTGATGTTCAAGAGAGAGAAAAGCAAACCCGAAAGTCACTGGGCACTGTGGTAGTTGCTCGGTACCAGCAACAGGACCACCCATGGGTCCGTCCAACTATACCAGCAACAGGACCACCCGCCGGTCCCTGGACAGGAGCCTCCCGAAACAAACCAGGGACACCACCTGACAGAGAACTCAGCAGCTGACCAGGCAGGGAAGGAAGATCTCCACTTGGGCCTAGGCGCCGTACATTACACCATTTACATATGTGTTTGCTTATATTTTAAAACATAAGGATAAGTAATGAATGAATAAGCATGGTTTCCTTTCAGAGAGAAGGAAAGAACTAGATGGGAAACGGGACACGCAGGTACTTGCATTTACAGTTTTGTGTGGTGAGCTATGTCAACACTTTATGTAAATGAAGGACAAGATAAAGCAAAGAGGGAAATAGAACAATCTTCAAAACAGAAAGACTGGAAAACAGAAAAGCCTAATTTTCTTTCTTTAATTTTTATTTATTTGCTACAGGGTCTCGCTATTCATTTCTGACTCATAGTGATCCTCCTGTCTCAGCCTCCCCGGCCTAAAAATCCTAATTTATTATTAGGTTGTTAACATAACTACACAGAGAAAGGAATTATTTCCTGTAACTTAAACTCTACTCCCAAGGGACTTTTCATTCCACATCTAGGAGGGGATAAATTCCAAGAACAAAAACAAACATCAAATGTCACCCTAGAGTTTCATTAATAGTACTCCTCATTTCAAAAATAACACACAACAATGTTTATACTATTGGATCTCTGTGTGGGAAAGGGAACAATAAAATTACTATACCATAGGATGAAGAAAATAGGAGATTTAGTTAATATCTTTAGAATCTAAGGTTTCCAGTATAAGAGAAAAGAAAATAAAAAGAATCCAAGAAGTAACAATGTTGTCTTCTTAAACTTGAGTTGGAAATATCAATGAATCAATGACTTATTATTTGCTTAACAATAACAAGACATATTTCTAAGCTACAGCCACAGAAAAGTCTAGAAGCACTGGCAGCAGTTTACCAATCCTAACTCCTGGAAGGCAGATGGGTCAGCAAAACCATTTCATGCAAGGAACAAACCACAGCCTGTGAAAAGCGGGGAGCGGGCTGGGGGCCACATTGCTTCTAGGTCCGGGCCACCAAAAGTGCGGCGCGGACTGGTATTTTGCCTGGTGCCAGAAGGAAGGCAAGGGGCTCGCAGAAAAGAATGTGCTTATGCCACAAGAAGCCAGAACGAGCTGGAAGTGACTCTTGATAGCCCGGGGGGAGGGGAGGGGAGGGGAGGATTTGAGTTTCAAAATGAATAAAAGCCAGGCACAGTAGCTCATACCTCTCAACATCTAGGGAGGCTGAGGTGTGAAGACCACGAGTGTGAGTCCTGCTCAGGCAACTTAGTAAGACCCTGTGTCAAATCCTCCAGTACTGGGGGAAATGGGTACAGATGGAAGCAAGCGAAATATATAAAAATCAATGCATTCACAATGACACTTAAGAGAAAAGAAGGAAAACCTGAAAGTCACTGGGCACCGGTGGGACTTGCTCGGGTCCCAGGACAGATGGACCAAAAGAGAGGCAAGCCACGTCCTGCCTTTCCTGTACAGACTGCACTTCCGGGCAGCCAGGGAGCTGAGGAAGGGCAGTTCTTCAGAGAAGAAACCCGGCTAGCAAAGGTGCAGAGAGGGATGGAGATAGAAGCGTCACGCTTTTGCAATGAAAGCAGTATGTGATGAGCACGTGTTGACTGGTAGGTGAAGAGGGCTGGGGGGAGGGTCACACTGAGCCTCGGCACCTCAGAGAGGGTCTGAGCATCACCACAAGTGAGACAGCCAGCATGCACGCACCCGCCTGGTGACATTCTGTGACAGGACACGAGCAGCCCATCGCACACCCGAATCCAGGCAAACCTCTGCACGAATATGAGCTTATGCGGAGTGGAGAGAATATCAGCACAACAGAGAGCAACGCCAGAGTGTGGGATGTTCTGCAGGGCAAAGGGCCCAGTCCTCCACCAGATCACCACAGGAAACAAAAGGAGGCAAGTGGGAGGAATTGCTGGAGAGGAAGAGATTTGAGCAACATCAGCAGGAGCTGGGGCTGGGCTCAGTGTACAGCACTTGCCCAGCATTGCCCAGGCCTTGGGTTCAATTCCTGGTATGGGGGAAAAAAATAATAGTAAAGGAAGCTGTACTGTGAGATTATCCTGGGTCTTTGCCTAGATCAGCTCTTAAACCCAATGTGGTAGCACACGCCTGTCTCCCAGCACTCAGGAGACTGAGGCAGGACTAGTGTGAGTTTGAGGCCAGCCTGACTCCATAGTTAGACTGTCTCAAAAAAAAAAAAAAAAAAAAAAGACAAAAGAAAGCGAGGAGGGGGAGGGGAGCAAGAAGTAGGAGGGACATGAGAGCGGACAGGCCACCACACCAGCACAGGGCCCCTCTGATTTGCCAGTCCTAACCCATCTTCCCACATGGACCTGTTCTGCCCCCAGCTACGGAGGAGACACTTCTTCAAGAACTTTCCACGGGGCTCAAGAACAGTGTTGGGAGTTGGTTTCCTCAGCGCTGCTCTCAAAAACGTGTTCCTCTCAGGGCCTCATCATCCCTGACGCCTGATCTTCCTTTCCCGGGAGTCCCGGAGTGCTACAAAACCTTCTAGTCACTGAAGACCAGCTGCCTGCTCTCCGCGGGAACAGGCGGAGGAGAAGGACCCTGCGGGTGGGCCGCTTCTCCTCTGCCTGGGCATCCGGGGGGCTGGGGGCCACTCCGGGCCTCTCCCCAGGCCCCAGCGACAGGGCTGCGAGGGAGGGGGGCAGCGGGGTGGGGGTCCCTGCAGGCCGGACCCGAATGAGGATCCCTGGGTCAGGAACGTGTCCGGCTTCCACAGGTGTGGGGCTCCGTTGCCAAAGAAACGTGAGCAGAAGGTTCCCTTCCTCCTGCACTGGAGGCGGGAGAGCCCGCCTGCTCCCTGCTGGCAGCAACAAAAAAGTGAAAGAATGAAAAAAGAGCCGCCCCTGTCCAGTCATCTGGTGCCACCAAGTGGGCAGCGTGAAAACAGGCGGGGAGGCGGATGAGAAGGACCCGGAGGGAGGACACCCCACGACGAGGTCGGGTGGGGAGCGGGACCCACCTGGGCACCCTGTTCCCCAGCCCCGAGGGTGCCCAGGAGTTTCGTCCCCAAGTTCAAGGCCAGTGTCGAAAAGAAAATATAAAAAGCTGGCAAAGCATTAAACCCGACGCTCCTCTCTTCGGTCACAGAAATAACTGTGAGCATTCTGCTGCCTGAGAACTGTGCTTTGTCAAGCCACAAGTTGCAAACACAAGGATCTCGTCATTAGACCTTGCCCAATTGCCATTCCCATTGCGTCTGTTCTTCCAAATAATTTGGGGGTACTTTGTATAAGACTGAACCCCAGGAAACCTTTTTCTTTCTGTTCTGTGAAAAAAAAATTTTTTTGTACTGGGAATCAAATGCTCGACCTCACACTTACCAAGCAGGTGCTGTGCCGATGAGCAATGTCAGTGGCCTGAAAACGTTATGAAATTACTGGGTGTTCAGTTTAGGGCAATATATTTTTCTAGTAAAGCATTCCAGCCCCTCAAGACAGTTCCAAGCTAAATAAACCAAGTCCTGCACCCTAACCCTGCCTGTCGCAGCTGGGGGATGATGCGGGTGCCACAGTTCTCTCTGGCTTACTTGGCATATTATACACTGATGGACAGTACTGTCCCCGCAGTCACAGAGGACTTCATTTTTCTGCACTGGTGACTGAACATGGGGCTTTTACACTGGGCTACATCCGCAGTCTTTTTTAAAAATTTTATTTTGTGCCAGGGTCTCATTAACTCGCTATATTGCCTAAGTTGGGCCTGAACCTGTGATCCTTCTGCCTTAGCCTCCCAGAGTGCTTGGATGACAGGGGTGCAACCCCACACCCAGCTTGGACTTCTGCTACATACGGTACGTGCGCGCCACATGGCAACTTTCTAGCAAGGTTCCTCCCTCCCCAATTTTCTCCATCCTTGTGTGTGAAAGGACAGGAAACCTACCCTGTAAGAAAGGGCCACAATGGAGTTACTAGGTGGGAGGGAGGCCCCCGGCGCAGTTACCCAGACATGGAGGGGAGCCTCGATCTTCCTGAGCTGTCCCTCCCCATCCCCGGACTGAGGCACAAAGCCTGATGGGTGCAGAAGCAACTTACTCGAGCTCATCCTCGGAGTCGTAGCCCACAGGGCCGCACTCGATGGGAATGACCTCGCTCTTGGCTGGATTTTGTTTCCAGGCGCTATTTCCTGTGGACGAAGGTGACTCCTTCCTCTTCTTCTTCCCAAATAACTTCTTAAACGTTTTAAATTTAGATTTTTTCTTTCCTAGATAGATTTCAAAAACAAACCTGTCAGCACTGTATGGGTGTGAGACGGGAGGCCAGGCTTCAGGCCTCCCGCTGGGCTGTTGCTTGTCTGCCACCCTGACAGCTCAGAGAGGCCCAGTGCGCCAGACCTGTGCGCTTGGAAGCGAGTCTCTTCTATACTTAAGCCTCTTTGGATGCTTAAGTACACGAGCAAAAGCACGTGGGATCCAGCCCAGACGCACAGGGGATCAAGGTGTCCTCTCTGAAATGTACACAGGCGTTTGTGACAACCCTGATGAGAGAAACACTGTGATGACCTGCTACACATTTCCTTTTTTTTTAAAGAAAAATTAAGCATTACTTTATACACATCGAGAGAGTACAGAGTGATGATCTGACACACGGGTACACAGCATGGTGGTCAGATCAGCGTAGCTGGCATTTCCAATCATCTAAACTTTAAAAAGAATTTATTAGCAGGCAACAATTGCACATATTTATGAAGTACAATACAATAAGTCAACAGGAGTATACAATATATCTCGATCACATCCAGGTAGTTAACATTTCCATCTCAATGTCCTTCTTCTGCATCGGAAGCCTTCAAGTTCCTCTCTTCTAATTATGCACACAATGTACACTAGGCGGTGGGGAACTGAGGCCACACACTGCTGTGGATGCCCAGAACTTACTACTTCTGTGTCTGGGCACCTGCTCTCTGACCTCCCTTCCTGCCACCTTTCCAACTCTGTAGTAATCAGATTATTCATTCTGATCAGCATTTAATACCGGTCTTTCTGCATCTGGCTTCTGTCATTAGTGCACCTCCTCCAGTTCCACCATTTTGCTGTAAATGATACCATAGCTTTCCTTTTGGTGACTGAATCATATTCCGCCATGCATACACTCCAAGTTACTCAAGTTATTTTAAAAAATAACTTCCAAATGCTTTGTGCAGTGTGGACAAAGCACAAAGGCCAATCGGGGGAGGCCAACCGCATGGGCAGGGGTGCCAAGCACCATGCTGAATTAGCAGCTCTGGATGATACAAATGACCAAGCGCTGGCCGTCCCTCTGGGCAAGAAGCTCATGGCTCCTGGACTGTCAGAATGTGCGGAAGGAGTGACTTTGTGATCTTTCTCCAATCCACCCTTCACACTCATTTGCAGATCCTACCCCAGCCAAGGACTTACAGCTCCAAGACAGCAGTGCGGCCCATCCCCCCCTCTCCTGGGTATGCGACACCAGCCAGCGGTGACCGGTGACCAGGTGCTGCTGATACACCGAGGAATCTGCTAAAGCAATTCACTAAAGATGCTAGATGAATACTCTTGGGCACGGAAGCCCTTTAAAAATAAAACAGGATCTTCCTATTTATTTTTTGTTTTGTTTTTGGCATGAATTCACCCTTGGCAGTTTACGGGATCCTGCCTCTGAGTGCGGAATTACTTGGGACTACTCCAGGATGGGCTGAGGGAACGTCTCCCCAAAGGGAGTAAGTTCTTTTTAACCTGCAGGAATCTCTTACACTCACAAAATGTTCACACCACTATCGACTGGGTGGCCCCAAGAGCTGACAACCTTGATAGATTCCTGGAGGCTTCTGCATCCAGCAGGGCGCAGCCTGGCTTCAGCCCATGAACACATCAGCATCCGGCCCTGTAGAGCTGAGCAAGCCCGTGCCTCCCTAAGGGTTCCTGCCTCGGGGCTACTCCGCATCTGCTTTTCCTTTGATTAACTGCACCACAGGCTTGCTGATTTTACAGGCCTCGAAAAATGTCTGCCCTTGTTAATTCTACGGGAAATTCATATTCCTGTGGTTCTGTTACCATCTTTACCCTTTTCTTTCTTGTATTTTTTTTTTTAGGTTCACTGTGCTATTTTTTTAAAAAACCTTCTTGAACATTGAGTTTACTAATTTTTAGGCTTTCTCTCTATTTACACATTTGTAGGCAATACATCTCCCTCTAAATTTGTTTTAGCTGCACTGTATATTATCAACTCTAGCATTGTAAACATTGTTCGGTTGAAAATATTTTCTAATTTCCACAATGATGCTTTCTTAGGCTGGTATGTTATGTAGAAAAGTATGTCCTCATTTCCAACCACTTGTTGATTTTCTTAATTATTTTTCTGTTACTGAATTGTAGCTTAATTGTACTGTGGTACGATAATAGCTTAATGATTTAATCCACCCAAATTTGGGTAACTTGCTTTATGGTTTATCACATTGAGAATTTTTTGGTGGGATGGGGAGATCAGTCCAGACTGGCCTTGAACTATGAAGCCCAGGCTAGCTTCAACCGCATTTGGCAATCTTCCTGCCTCAGCCTCCTGAGAGTTGGTATTGCAGGTGTACCGCACCACGCCCAGCTATATAGACACTTTTTGTAAATATTCCTGCAGTGCTTCAACATGATGCATTTTCTTCCATGTTCTACATCTGTCAAACCTCTCCCAGTCATAGGCTGTGTGCACATGCTTATGCCACTGAACTCTCTCTCCAGCCCAACAAAACAAAACAAAACCGGCAACAAGTGCTAGGAGGACACCTCGCTGGTGAGAATGCAGAATGGTACAGTTACTCTGAAAATGTTTCAGACACACACAGCCTATGACTCAGCAATTCCCCTCCGAGGTGTTTACCCAAGAGCAAGGAAAATTTATGTTTACATAAAAACCTACAACCTCTCTTCATAATTGCCCCAAACTGAAAAGCCAAGGCTCCTTCAGTTGGTGGAGTCCATCAATGAGATGCTACTCAACAATAAAAGGGGCAAACTATTGGGCGATGTAACCATGCGAATGAACCTGTGCATGAGAAACATCCAAAATCAGAAGGCCACGTGCTGTCCCACTTGACGCATGTGACATGCTGGAACAGGCAGGCAAAACTAGGAACAGAGATGGTATTAGTGGACACAGGGGTTGAAGGTAAGGGAGAGGTCTGACTACAGAAGGGCAGCTTCTATTCTGTTTATCTCTGTACATCTATTTTTCCCTAATACCACACCCTCTTGATTACACTAATTTATATTAGATCTTGAGATCAGCCAGTATGAGACCTCCAATTTTGTTCTTTTCCAAAACTGATTTACCACTTGTAGTTTTTTGCTTTTCCACATAAATTCTAGAATCAGCTTGCCAATAGGTGCAGAACGTTTTCTGCTGGGATGTTGACTGCTTTGTAGTCCCCAATTCCTTGGTCCTCTTCCAGGTTATTTGGTAGCAAACCCTTCCATACACTATTTCCATTTGGTTCACTGTGATTTGGCTATTTCCTACATAAAAGTTTATGAACACTCATGAAGATAAAAAATGATTATTGGTCAATACTTCTGCTCCAAATATCAAGCTAGCAGCATTCCAGAGCTCTGTATTTGTCTTTTAAACAGTGCTCTATACCTATATGCACTAAGCACGGCATCGCCTTGTGCACAAGGAACATCTCAGCTACTTCACATCTTCTGGCTCAGAAACCTGCTACCTCTCTCCTTACAGTGAAGTCTCTGTTCAATTTTATAGCAACTATCTGCATATACAGTTACATATATTTTGTTAGATATAATATGTAAATATTTCAATTTTTGGTGCTTTTAAAGTATTTCCAATGTTCCGTTATTCAGTGTTAATGCACAGAAACACGGTAATTTTTTTTTTTTTTTTGTATTTAGGGAAAGGTCTGCAGGGTGTTCAGGGTCTCACTACTAAATCGGACTTGTAGTGATCCGCCTGTTTACAGCCTCCCAAAGCTGGGATTACAGGCGCGCACCACCACGCCCAGTCTCAATTGCCGTCTCAGCATACCCAGCGGGCAGGGCCACCATGGCAGGCCCAGGGATCGAACCCCCGGCCCCTCCGCCTGCTTGCAGGTGCTTTAATCAACTGAGCTATTTGGCCAGCCTCAGTAGATTTTTAATGAGTTTATATTTTGCAATCCTGCTAAATTTAAGAGCTTTGTATTTGTATGCATATTTTCAATAATTGCATCATCTTCCAATGGTTTCACTCCTTCCTTCCATGCTTAGGTTCTTTCTTTTTTGGTTTTGTTTTCTTGTCTTATTGCCATGGTTGGCCGCCATATTGCTTTTTTATGGTTTCTTGGGACTTCCAGATATTTTCAATCACTTTTATTATCTCCAAAAATTAAGTATACATATAGCATATCCTTGATCACTCCTTTATTTCTGCCTTCAGGGTCTGTGATTGCTATGGGTTCGCTCCCTAGGGTGGCTCTGGCAGGACGAGAAACAGCGACTTCCAACAGGCGTGAGCTGGCTCATAGCTCCAGGGCCTAGAGGGCTAAGATCACAGTGGCGTTGGCGCAGCTGGCCCCTCCTGAGCCTGCGACACAGAAGTCTGTCCATTTTGTCTCCCCAACTTCTGGTAGTTTGCCAGCAAGTGTTGGTGTCCCTGAGCAGGTGGCCTCGCCAGCCCATCTTTCCTCCCTGTCCACAGGCTGTTCCCCCGTCATGCAAGTCACTGTTCCTATTTCCCCTCTGGATAAGGACACCATTCACAGTGGATTGGGGGCCCACTAATCACCAAATAAGGGCACGTTCTGAGACACTGGTGACCTCAGCACAAGACCTCTAGAGGGACAAAATTCAACTCATAGCACGCTGGCTCCTGTCCTTGGTACCTCACTGCCTCTTATGCTTGGTTATCACTGAGTGTCTGCTTGTCTTAGAACTGAAGATATCATGTTCTACAGTAACAGATGGATGGGAGGAACCTCCCGCTGGAGAACACTGTTGCTTCTGCAAAGCTCCTGAGCTCACACCCAGGGCTGCTGCTCTATGAGCTAAGGGCTGAAGTTCTCTGACTACCTCAGTGACACACACGGAAGCTGCAATCCACCGGGGTGGGCTGGTCCCTGATTCACACCCACCGGGAGCCGTAGCTCCTTGAGCACCTGGCTGCTTACTTTTTATTCAGCAGGCCCCTGCTGCACGGCCTGTACGCTGTTTCCTGACACTCTCTACCCTCCCACCCCTTGTGGACCTGAAGCTCAAATTTAAAATTTCCAAGACTTGTAAAAGGTCTTGTGTTTTTTCCTCTTTCCAGCCTACTATTTCTCTCTCACTTCTGGCCTTGTGATTTTTTTTTTTATTTTTAAAAAATAGCTTCAAAGGGGGGCCAGGGAGCTGGCTCAGTGGAATAAGTGCTTCCCTGGCAAGCGCAAGGGCCTGAGTTCAATTCCCGGTTCCTAAAAAAAAAAAAAAAAGCTTCAAAGAATTTCTTTTCCTCTACCTCTTCTTCCTCCTCCTTGTCCTCTTCCTCTTCTTCTCTTTGGTCTTTTTGAGACAGTTTCACTATGCAGTTCAGGCTGGCCTTGAACTTACTTTGTAGCCCAGGATAGCCTCAAACTTACAGTGATTCTCCTGTCTCAGCCTCCTGAGTGCTGTCAAAGAATTTCATATCTAAATAATTCTTAATTTTGAGTGGGGTAGGGCTGATCCAAAAATATTAGGCTATTATTTTTGGGGAGGAGAACCACTTAGTTTCCTTGCTTCTGTTCCAAAGCTGATTTTTCATTATGTTCTCAGTAAGTACCCTATGTTAGCATTTATTGAGGTTGTTCTAGGATAATGAAGTACTTATTCAAACTATTTTCTTACTTAAAATTAGTAATGATTCAAGGTCTCACAATGGGCATTTGAAACTCCATTTTTTTCCTGAGTGTTATTCTAGAAAAAAACAAAAACCTTACTTTATATTTAGGCTTATTTGATACTTATTGAAATGTGACAGAGAAAAAGTGATTTTAATATACAGTAATAAGCAAATTTATCTATAACATACAAAATAAAGTCTTTGCTGAAATTAGTATTTGAAGCTAGGAGCTAGGAGCTAGAATTTAATATCCTGGGAAGCTATTCTTCCTGAACTATTGAAAGAAAATTGCTATTGGCATTTTGACTTCAAGCGAGAGCTAGAGGTTTTCATTGACAAAATAAGGGGAAGTTAAATGGTTAATCAAGAGAAAAGGTGCATTGTGGGAAAAAGAGATGTTTCTGGGTGTCAGTTTTACAACTCTGTGTACACATAACTAGGCTGCATGGATAACAGTGGGCCAATCACAGAACTGAGTAACTGTTGGACTGTGTTCTGAAATAATGATTCATGGGCCTAGAATTCAGCTCAGGAATGGCTATAACCAAGGCCTTCTGAAGGAGAGTAAAAGTCACCCAAGAGAGGGGTCAGAGGCTCTCTCTTGATGTAATTGTTTTTCTGGCTGCTCCGCCTTTCCTGTGCTTTGTTTGGCTGGCACCTTTGGATAACTGGATGATAAATGAATCCTCTTAGCCCCTTTTCCTCTTAAGTCAAACATGGAGATGTATTCACCTCCCAGATGAGGACAATGATATTAAAATCCCCTACACTTGCAGATAACTAAAGGAGCCAAGTAGCCTGAATAGTATGTACGTGTGGCAGTTATAGTGTGGGGACCTGGTGTGTGTCCAGCCACGCTGGGCACTGCAGGCCTCCTGTCCCCAATGCCCTGCCTGTCCCCTCTGTGCTGCCCCACGACCGAAGGCTCCTCCCAGCACAGGGGAAAAAACTCGGGCCTTACCTGTGTTGTCCTCGCCGAGGCCTTCCGCAGCCTCCCGAAGCTTAATGTCCATCACCCTCGTGGAAATCATGTCCAGTTCACTAGAACAGAAGGAGATTCAAGTTAAAGGGCCATGTGGGACAGAAGCCATCGAGTAATATGAGGATGGCAGTAACTGCACTGCCCACGACCTTGCCCACAGACACCCTGCAAGGACAGTCTAGGCAGAGCATGGGACAGGACAGGCCCGAAACAGACACAGGCACAAGGCTGGTAGACATTCGAGCATTTTACTAGTCACCAACTGAGGCAACTGCGTGGAAAACAGGACTGAAGCAAATGTTTCACTCATTTACACAATGAAGATTAGGTTCTTTCTTCCAAAGTGTTCTTCTCAAATGATGAGAAATTATGGTTCTTTTCTTGTTTATTGCAGGAGCTTAGATGATACTGACAATGAAAATCACCCATAATCCTGCCAAGCAAAGATAAGCACAATACTGTAATCTCCTTCCAACATTTTTCTATGCAACTATTTCGTGTCCAGGCACATACATTAGGAAGTTTAAGTTCCTAATTTTTAAATTTATGCTACCTTATTAAAATTCTTGATAGGTGTGATTTGAATGGCTACATAATACTTCAATGTCATGTTATATTTTACATTGAATTTCTTGAAAACTTCCAAGCGGATCTAAAAGAACACAGAACACACATGGAACCTAAGGTAGGGCTCCCTTCACCTTTGCTTCACCACACCCTCTCCACTAGATTGTACCCAAGCAAAGGACCCCAGGCGCTATTCTCATTTCGTCCAGATGGATTCGGCTTCTTTCTAAACAGAAATTTCTGACTCTTCGTGGAACTCAAGTACATGTTCACTAGTCCGTGTTTCTGCCACAGGATGCCGAGCGTTCCGTGTCCCCGCCTCCCATAGCCGACCTCAGACAGTGCATGCTCTCCACAAATTGTGATCAGAACAGACAGCTGTTTAAAGTTTTTAAATGATTACAGCAAAAACCACATTGCTGTGAGTCAGACCCAAAATGCCCCCCCTCCCGCTTCAGACACATTCTTCGCATCCTTCCTGCCACTTTCTGAAGCAGTTCTAAATGTGACAAAATGCACAGCCAATGCTGCTGAGCACCGTCCAGCCAAAAGGTGGCCCCATCGAACCATTTACTCATGTCCTCAGCCACCTGACGCTCTGCCTCTGGTGTTGGCTCCTCCCCAAAGTCAAAATGACCATGAAAGGGAATGTTCTGGATCAATTCCCGATCTCAAGGCCACCACCAGCACAAGTGAAGACACTCAGGAAAGAGGGCTTCAGAGTTGCGGCAGAAGGTGGCAAGAACAGCAGGACCAGCATGTCCAAAGCAAGGGAGAGCGCTCTGGGGGCGTGCAGGTGATGTATCTTGAATCAGTAATTCTCTCTCTCTCTTTTTTTTTTTTTCCTAGAACCGGGGATTGAACTCAGGCCCTTGTACTAGCCAGGGAAGCACTTATTCCACTGAGCCATCTCCCCGGCCCCCAGGGTGATGTATCTTGTACGCTTGTAATTATAAAATTTAAGCATTTGCTCTATGTTTCGTCACACCTTACACACAACACACAGAGATCATCTAGAAAGTTATTTCTTCCTGGGAGAGACTATGAATCCTCACACACAGGAGGCTCAAATATTTAAATAAGTAATTCACATTTATGACGTGTGCACAGCACATAAAAGAAAATGACAGAGTAAACACAAAGAGGAGGACAGGAAACAGACACGGGCCGCGCCAGGGGGCGCTCCTATTTAGGTCTTCTTTGAGATCAACATGGGACGTAGAAAGTCCTCTTTGCTAGCTAATTCCTTAAAAGCTGAAACAAAGCTGCACCTGCTTCAGTTCTCAATTTTCACACAGTTCGGCTTCTGGTCTTGTGTCAGCTTTGCCGAAAGAGCTTTGCTGGAACCTCACCAAACCTGCGTCGCGCTCGAGCCGGCACCGTACGGATGGAATAGAAAGCACTTTTCCAAATCTTGCCCACTGTTTTAGGGCTGAAAGAACAGCCTTATTCGCACTGTCAAAGTAACTGGCAGTGCGGTCACATGGCAGAGTGACTACATCATTACGGGTTGGTGACCCTATCCAAAAACCTGGGTGCTTTGCAAGGGCACCCGTCCCTCACCCCCAGAAGTCAGTCAGTCCGCAACCTCCTGACTCCTTACTCAATGTCCTGTTGCTGCGTGACACTGCTGCAGGAGGGAGTACCACAAGGCATGGGGAACAAGAGACAGAGGGAAAAGAAAAAGTGGAAAGTAAGAGTGAAAAGGCGCAGGCCAGGTGGGAGTCACCCTGGGTACCCGCTGCTAAAGTTGCCACTGAGATGCTCAGAAGTGCTAGAGCTCTCCATCGTTTGGATGTGGGATCAACCACAGTTTGCAACAGCAAATTACTTATTATCCTCTCAATTATCATCTCAATTTTCCTATTTATCCCCCGAGAACTTTGAGTGCTCCCACGTTGGAAATGAGGCCATATGTGGCATGCCTAAAAAATACAGTGAATATATGAATTTTTTAAATAATTACAATCAAATACACATTGCCATGAATTCTCTTCAAAATACTTCCCTTCACTTTAAATGCTCTTCCCATAATTCTTACCACCGTTTTTATTTTTTTGTACCAGGATTGAACTTAGGACCGCAAGCTTGCCAGGCAGGGGCTGTGCCAATGAGCTACAACCCCACCCCTGATCTGTAATCTTTGAAGCAAGGTGACAGGTCAGTGTCACCCCAACCTGTCGCTCCCAGAACACATGTGTGAGCCAGGTGGAAGGGATGGAGAGCCATGCTCCACACTGTTGACTGGGACAGGGTGTAAGGAACAGGCTGTGACTTCCTAGGGCTTGAATGATTACATATCGGAGCTGAAGTACCAATCCCCAAACATGAGACCCCCCCCTTCTTCACAATTAATAAAACTCAGGTTCAGCCCTGGATCGAGGCCTTTGTTCCAGGTATCCACCATCCTAGCTGGACTCAGGACCCTCTTGGCTCTCCACACCTACCGATATGCTTTAGTGTCCTTATTCTCACCATGAGTTGCACTGGAAGTGGTAGATTAGAATTAACTTGCTAGAGTTCCAATAACATTTCCATGGGATTACAAATACAAACTTCCTAGGGCCTGCCAGATAGCTCAGTGGACTAAAGCACCTGCTTATGCAGGCGCAGGGACCAGGGTTTGATCCCCACAGTGCTGTGCTGGCCCCGCCCACAGGGTGCACTGAGATGGCGAATGAGACGGACTGTGGTGGCACTTGCCTATAATCCTAGCGCTTGGGAAGCTGAAAACAGGAGGACCACTATGAGTTCAGTCTGTGTAGTGAGGCCCCACAGACCCTGTACTAAGTACATAAATAACTAAATAAATAAATAAAATCAAATATAAACTTTCTGGGCCTTGACAAGGACAGGGAAGGACTCTATATGCTCTGACTAATGTAGACCCTTAGATAATTCTGTTACTGCCACTGCCCATTCCTGTTACACAACAAAGAACCCAATGCTCAAATTTATGGGGAGAAAGCACCGACGGTGCTCTGGGAAGCAAACACGTAGGAAAACTGGTGCCAAGTGCCCTACAGCGGCCCCTGCTGAAAGGCCAGAGCATGCGGTGTTCTGTCTGGCTCATTGTAAAGCAGACTGATGCAATGAGGGTGAGTGCCACAGGCCCAGGGGAACAGGCTCACAGCGCAGCACATGGTGGGGAAAGTGGCTCCATCCACCTAGGGTGGCCCAGAGGCTCAGAGTCACAGCTCAGCCTCAGACTGAGAGCTCACATCTAGAACATTAAAGAGCCCAAAAAGTAAAATAAATAAATAAAATAAGACAACCCCCCAACAAAGATCCAATAAGAAAGCAGGCATCGGAGAAGAACACACACTTCTCAGATGAAGAAATCCAACTGGCCAATAAATACATGAAGAAACAGTCAACATCATGACTACTCGAGAAATGCAAAGGAAGACATTAAGATTCCACTTGTACCAGAAAGGATGGCACCATTAATCCATCAACCAATAACAAACACCGGTGAGGTCGTGGAGAGGAAAGGACCCTTCTCCATTGCAGGTGGGAGTGCAAACTGACGCAGCCACTAGGGAAATCAGCATGAAATTCCTGAAAGATACCATTTTTAGGTATCTTCTCCAAGAGTTAAAAAAATCACATCACTGTAATGTATGCATACCCATGTTTATAGCAGCACAGTTCATCATAGTTAAATCTTGGGGCTGGCCAAATAGCTCAGCGAATTAAAGCATCTGCAAGCCCATGCAGAAGCTGGGGGTTCCATTTCTGGGCCTGCCGTGCTGGCCCCACTCCCAGGGTGCACTGAGATGGCAATTGAGACTGGGCATGGTGGTGCACGCCTGTAACCCCAGCTCTTGGGAGGTTGTAAACAGGCAGATCATTAAGAGTCCAATCTAGTAGTGTGACTCTGAACACCCTGTAGACCCTTCCCTAAAATACAAAATAATAACAATAATAATAATAATAATAATAATAACAACAATAATTTGGAAGCAGACTATACGCCCATCAACAGATGAATGGATTAAAAAATGTGGTATTTACGGACAAGGAAGTACTACTCTGCCGTGAAGAAAAATAAACTTGAAGGATTTGCACAATTGTTGTACCTTGACAGCATAATGCTACTTGAAGTGTGTCAGACAGACAAGCTTGAACCTTGCAGGGTTTGTCTTATATGAAAGAGTTAATATATAAAGTACAAAATGAAAAGACACATCATAGGAAAAAAGGGAGGAAAGCTGTCGTATTCTAAGTATGTTTCTGCCGTCGATTTCTAGTTTCACTCTAGCTAGAAACAAAACGATGTTTGGGGAAAACAAAAATGATCTGATTTGACTGTGGTCATGGCTGTACAGTGCTACAATCTGCTGAATCTTACACTGTAAGTTTGTAAACTGTGGTGTGCAAATTTTAGTCCAATAAAGAAGTTATGTAAAATATAAAGAAAGTAGCACAGGGCAGAGGGCTCAGGAGCAGGTGGAGGGTGAGCACCCCACAGAGGCTGAGCGCTGTTGGA